TTTTTTACAATGTATAAATTTAAATTTAAAAAAATCGACTTCTATGTGATTTACTTATATACTTTATAAACATATCCGAAAATGTATATTATAGTATTATACCATGAATTTAATTTTAACTATTTCTATTCAACCCAACCCTTTTTAAGAATTGTTAAATGTTTTAAACGTTCAATAGCTCAGCTTCATAATATTTGGGTCATAGAATGTGTAAAATTTTTTTTTTTCTATAGGTTTATTGCTATTTTAAAATCTATATTTTTTTTTCAAAAAAAGCTAAAACTGATATTTTCCCTATAACTTTTTTTTACCAATTTTTATATTATTATTATTTATTAATCAATAGAAAATATAATGAGGATTCAAAAAATACTAAAATATTGTTAACTGTGTCACTTTTAGTAAAACCAATACCATCTCAGCTTCGCATCTAAGATAAAATAATTTAGTAAAAATTAAAAATTACATTACCACACTGCTGTTATAAGCACCTCCAGTAACAATTCCGTGCCATTTAAAATGTTCCCAAGCTTTGATAGGATAACCGCCACTGCAGCCGTAACCACACTTCTTACAACAAAAAGCTAATTCTTCAGCTGATAGCATTTCGTTGAATTTATAGTTTGTAGCAATACATAATCTATCTGAAAATGCGCTGGTGGTACTTAATGCCTAAAACAGATTTTTTATTCAATTTTTTTATTTTGAAACATAATAATTACGATACAAACCCAACAAGATCCACAATTTCCTTGATCACGAATTGTTCCAATGCTTTTACATTGTTTCCACTTCTTTCGAGCATCAAACTCTTTTGGAATATGGTGGCAACTACTGTACCTAGGATCGTGTGACTTAACCGGTTCATTCTTCTTTGGTCCTCCAACTCCTCTAGATCCTAACAAATGTTTAAAATACTCTAGTGGAGTATCTGGATGAAAATTCTGACCAGCCTGTAATTAATTTTGTTTAAAAATTATGATTAGTTAACTTTAATGATTTCGGTAAAATAACCGAATTACCCGATTATATTTAGCTCATGTTCGCTTATGTTGATAAAATCAAATTTTAATAGGAAAACGTTATAAAATATTTATTAATATAAAATTAATTTTGGTAAAATTGTGCGATGATAAAAAATACAATACCTCCCATGTAGTTGCCTCACTATTTATTTTGTTTATGTATTCAGGTTGAAGAAAATTTACTTGCTCAGTCAAGTAGACACATAGGAGAAACGTGCCTGATAAAATTATAAATTTAGTCATTTAAAAAAATTAAAAAAGGTAGAAAAAATATAATTATATACTTATACTTTGAACGCTGTCAATCACCCTACAATTTTTATATAAATCCAATTTTTATTTATATTAATTATTGGAAACATTTAATAGACTGAAATGACAAAAAAAATAATCTTTGCCCAATAAAAATTTTCCGTTATTTATACTTATCAACAATAATTTCAAGTAAATATGGTACTATATTTACATAATGGAAGTGTTATACTTGTATAACACTAGAAGTGTTTATGAAAAAAAAATTATATTAGCAATTAAAGTGACAAACAAACAAATATTAGCACACAAAAAATATCTGTTACCAATGTCAAATGATTATCTCAAAATTTTTTGACAATTAATCATATTAAATAGTTATGATTATCATTTGTAAACAGAATAAAATACTTACTAGAATATATCCTAAGTACTTAAGCAATAATAAAATTAATAACAGGAAAAAAATCAATTTATTTACTTTATATTAAAGTGTAATATTGTTTTATTAATAAGTGATCATTTTTAAATCTTTCTATTTCCCGAACTTAACTTTCTACTAAAAATAGTGGCCCTCTTTCACATGTTAGGAAGTCAAAGATTATTCTAAGCTAATGATTGATGGGACGTGTATTACGGCTGACTTCCCCTAAAGATCAGATTTATTGATAAGTAAAACGTTAAAACAAAAACACAGATAACATTAAATATTAAATTTATCGATACAATTAAAATTTATAACTGTACATTTTTCCAGAGTAATACAGCCCAATATTAATTGTTCTCTGTGTGTTGTACTTGCATAAAATTTCCCATTGAAACATTGATCGTCTTCTTTGTTTTATACGTTGAAGATTGCAGATCGTCGTTTAATACACGGTGGTAAATCAATGTGCAAGCCATTCAACGGTAAAGTTTTTTTGATTCTCAACAATAGTCCTTCAATGAAAAATAGCGACCATCCGCTACTTCTGTTCTCTATCGTTTGTTGTTCGTTTTTCCGTTATTTCACGTAAAACATCGAAGTTGTATTCGGTACCCGAATTGATAGTTTTGCTACGCGCCTTATGTCTTAAAAGACATGTCTTTCATTTCACCCTTAACATAATAAATATGCGTAGTGTGTAAAACAAAATTAAATTTTATTATACCACTCTTGGTTTCATCATTTAGTGTGATGGTTAAATTGTTACTCATGCATCCAATAAAATCCCCTACGTTGTCAATAGAAGTTTTGTTTTTAACACGCTTATATTAGTTTCACGTGTATGTCGTTTGTTTGTAAGTTTGTAACTCCACGCGGCACGTCTTATTATGTCGCGTATTCCGTCGTGTATGACTTTGAGACTATACTGTTGTAACGCATTCGTCCCACCCCGCTCACCACTCGTAACATCATTAAAGGATATTATTTTTAGCTTTGATGCGAAGCTGAGAGGTATTGGTTTTACTATATGTTTTTTTTTTGTGTGTTCCCCGTTCCCCGTAATGGGGTAAACCTACAAAAAAATTACAAATATAAAATTCGCTAATTTTCGAAGTTTTTCCAATTTTTTTTACTAAAAAATGCCGTAACTTTTTCAAAAATGAACATATCAATATAATTTTTTAGCTTCGATGCGAAGCGGAGAAGGTATTAATTTTACTATGATGTGTTTTTTTTTTTTTTTATGTCTGTTGCCACTTTTTCTCAGCTCTCACTGGACCGATTTCTTTCAAAAATACGTCAAAAGATCACAAATCGTATCTAGTTGAAGACATTACCCTTAAAAATTGAAAAAAATTCCCTCGTTCCCCGCAAATGGGGGAAATATCCAAAAAAATTACAAATTTAAAAATCGCTAATTTTCGAAATTTTTTCACTTTTTTTTCTTAAAACTTCCATAACTTTTTGAAAAATCAACAAATCAACATAATTTTTTTTTATACTAAAACCTTAGATATTTACCTTTCATTTGATATCATTTTTTTGAAAATCTATCACTTAACCTGCTCATTGGGGGGGATTTAAAATGGCAACTTTTTTACAAAAATTAATTTTTTCAACTTAATTTTTGAAAATGTTCCGGAAAGACTGCGTCCTTTAAACATATATCAAATTAAAGCTTATTTTATGTACTACAAAATGAAAAAAAAAAATTTGTCCCGACACTTTTTTTTCTACATTTAAACGGCTGCCGTAGTTAAAAAAACACTATTTTTGTGTTAAAATTTTCGATTTTCGATTTTAAATTTTCAACTTAAAAATGCTATAACTTTTTGAAAAATGTATATATCAGCACAAATTTTTTTTTTCTAAATACATTATAAGTACATCTTTCATTTGACATACTTTTTATTAAAATTGGACAATTTCCCCTTATATAGGGGGCGTTCAAAACTTAAAATATTGTAAAAAACATAGATCTTTTTCAACTGAACTTTTGAAAATGTTCCGGAAATACTGCGTCCTTTAAACATATATCAAATCAAAGGTTATGTTATATACTATCAAATGAAAAAAAAAAATTTGTCCCGACATCTTATCTTCTATGTGCAAATGGCTGTCGAAAATTTAAAAAAAAATGTAATGTTTGCGATAAAAATTACATTTTATCGGGATGTTTTTTGTACTTAAAACTGCCATAACTTTTTCAAAAATGAACAAATAAAAATAATATTTTTTTGTATTGAAACCTTAGATATTTCCCTTTCATTTGATATAATTTTTTTTGAAAATCTAACACTTATTCTGCTCACTGGGAGGATTTAAAATAGTAACTTTTTTACAAAAAATAACTTTTTCAACTTAATTTTTGAAAATGTTCCGGAAATACTGCGTCCTTTAAACATATATAAAATTAAAGCTTATTTTATGTACTACAAAATGAAAAAAAAAAATTTGTCCCGACGATCTATCTTCTATACGCAAATGGCTACCATATTGAAAAATATACTATTTTTGTATGATAATTATGGGTTTTGTATTTTATTTTAATAGAAGTTGATGTTGCTTTTGCAATTATCCATCAATTTTTTAAAATTAAACACTATCTACAGATTTGCATCGAAGCGTTTCTTATGATAGTGATTTTAATTTTATTTAGATGCCTGATATCTTTACCTATCATTTGGTATATTTTTTTTGTAAATTTGACACTTAACCTCCCCACAAAAATGAACTTTTTCAACTTAATTTTTGAAAATGTTTCGGAGTCTGACACTTTTATATATATCTTAAATTAAAGCTAATGTAATGTACTTTATTATGAAAAAATTATTTGACCTCTGGACTTGTCTTCGTGGTGAAAATAGACATCAAAAGTTAATAAAAAATTACGATTTTTTAAATTATTATCGTTAATATTATTTATGTCAACATTATCATTATATTAATATTGCGGTTATATTAGTATAATTTGTGTTTATAAATATATTTTACAAGTAGCTGTGTATAGAGGGATTGAGTGATAAAGTAGATTAGTGCGGCGGTTGAACAGCTCTCTATATAAAATATTAGCTTAATAGTTGAGGTAACAACCCCATGTTTGACAACGTTATGTGACTAAGTACTGCTCCATCTGTATCGATTCCTAAAATATCTACCAAATGATAAATAAAAAGTCAATTTAGTTAAATATGTATTTTGCAGTTTAAAAAAATAAACTTGACATCCCTTTAAGTTATAAGGTAAATGATTTTAAAAAGTCATTATTAGCTGATAAATAAAAAAATATACGTAAATAAATAAAACAAACGTTTTTTATTTTAAATATTCTATTTATAAATTGATCACCCTATATATATTTACATAGTATATATATATATTAAAACATTAACACTGATTTTCTATTTGATATTATACTTTCATATCGGGGTTGATTCATTGTAGCTTGAGACTAGACAAATAGTATTAATATTAGGTGACTACTGGTTGTGGTAAGTAGTCGGGTTTTAAGACTTTCATCAAGATGTTAGATTTGGTTGACTTTGATGTAGTTCAAATACTACATACATAAGTCAACGAAAAATGTAATAAGGTTAACATTAGTAAGGACAAGTATACCCGTAGATTGTACAAATAGTTAGGCTAATAGTAGTAAGGACCTGTTGTTGTAGGCTTACACTCCATAATCCTGATCATACAGAAAGACACAATGTTGACGTCATAACAATTTTAGGATAAACAAAATAATAACAAAAGCATTAACTCTGAGTATATTAAATTTTAGTGAAATATGACGTAATAATAATTTGACTTATGATTACGTCATATATATATTATATATGTATATTTTAAATATTTAGTATTTTAATTATTCAGAAATTATTTATTATTTTTATATTTAGGAACGTATATAAAAGTTTTAAATTTATTATAATTGCTTCAGTAACTTATCATTATTACATTTATATTTTTATTGAACAAGGGGTTCACCAGCAGTGTTTTCAGCTTCAATTCCACATTCGTTAGAACCTCTCTTAATTTTAAATAAACCTTTATCACCCCATGATGTATTCCATGAATTCACCAACAACCAGTATGGAACACCCTCTTCAACTCCCCATCCGATTAATTTCACACCATGTCCTCCCATCAATGACGTTGAAGATCGAACATAAACTCCTGTAAGAAAATGCATTTATTATAATTAAATTTTAAATAACTATTTAAAATTTAATTATAATCTTTTAACCTGATTTGTAATTGAAGAAATCATCAAAAACTAAAAATGTAGCTTCGATGGGTCCATGAACCATTATGTCCTTTTGAATAATTTCAGGAGAGAGATAGTAAAAGTTTTTAGCTATTAATATAAGATTTTAATTAATAATCTCCGAGAAATTAATATTATAAAATACACACTGTAAACGTGATCTTTCTTGTAATCAAGAGTGGTGTTGCCATAACATTGTTTAATGCATTTATGGTTTCGTTCTCGGGGTTTATCATTACAAGGATTGTAACCTTTTTCATCTATTTTGCATGGTGCTACTTTATATGGTTGGCATCCCTGTAAAAAAATCAAAATTCCTTTCAATTTATTGAGAGGATAAAAATAAGTAATTTTCTGAAATTAGTTTCACCTTACCTCTTTAGTATCATAATCACCACCAGTGACAACGCCATGAGTACTAAAGTATTCCCAAGACTTACTAGGAATTCCACCATTACAACCATCACCACATTTAACACAACAGAAAGCTAATTCTTCAGCCGATAACAAATGATTAAATTTTCCTTTAGTTGCGATACACATACGATCGGCAAATGCACTCGTAGTACTCACAGCCTAATTATATTTTTATATTTTAATTTGATCCAATGAATGAAATAAATTATAGCAATAATAAGCATTGCATTGAAAATCCGAGGTAAGAATTTTTAAATTAATAAATTCAAACGATGCATACCCAACAAGATCCGCAATTTCCTTGATCAGGGACATGACCAATGTTTTCACAATATTTCCATTGCTCTCTAGCATCAAACGTTTCAGGAATACTTGTAATATTTGCATAGGCAGGGTCATCTGTTTTAATAGGAGCATCATCATAATCACCTGGATCATTTTTTTTAGAACCTAACAATTTTTTTAGGTGAAGAAGTGATGTATCAGCAGGGAAATTTCTACCAGCCTAATAAATAAAAATGATTTCAATTATGTTAAGAAATAACAACCTTTTAATAGTACTAAATTAGGGTTATAACTGAGATATTAAACAATATTAATCAATTAATATTAACTGATTTTATTACTTAATATTAATAAATATTTTTTAGCATACAGTTTTTTTTTTAATAATTCACTTTTATTTATTGTGATGAGCTTCTATGACACGATAAGTAATTATATCTATAAATAGTTTCTCTAAATACATTTTGTTAAATTTTAAAATAAAACTTGTATGTCATAAATTAACAAAATTACTCAATTTGAATACTACAAAGGTAAAATAATAAGTAATACTGATGACGTTCACTTATAATTCAGTAATTAGTCTAATAATTCTAATTAGATTCATAAATAAATGAAATTATCGAATCGAAGCTAAAAATTGTCACAGAGTATTGTTTTTTAGTTAATTATTAAAAATGAGCAAAACTTGGAATTAACAATACAACATGCTTAATAATCAACTAAATATAATTTTTTAAATTTTTTAATAATTATTATTTATATAATGATTTTATAGAATTTTATTATTTAATAAAACATTCAAAAAATTTCTTAACGTTGTTTTATTTTAATTAAAAGTGATGAATTTATTTAATTTATTTAATGTATTTAAAGAATATTATTAGCGAAGATGAGAAAATTATTTTTTGCACACCGTGAGCGTTTAAAATCTTAATTAAAAACGATCATTACTACCCACATAGCAATGAAATATTTCTAGAATATTCCTAGAATATTTATTTTTGATATTAAAATATTTCTAAAATATATTAAAATATAACCAGAATATATTGAAATATTCACACGTTCTCAGAATATACTTTGGCAGCGAATATTACATTCTCACAATATTTTAAAGGTATATTTCTAAAATGTTATAAAAAATATATTGTGACAATATTTTTAAAATGTTTTATAAATATATTAAAAAATGCAAAAAATAGATCACTATGCGGGATTTNTAAAAAATGCAAAAAATAGATCGCTACGCGGGATTTGAATCCTGTACTTTTAGCGCGTTGGACTCGTACGTGACCCACTGACCCACAGGTTGCTTCGAGAGTAATAGAATAAAAAAAACTATTTAAGGTAGTTCAAATGGTTATTTTTCTTGTTTAAAAAAATTCAAAGTAAATACAATTTTTTTATATTCAATTTAGATTAGATTCATATAATTTTTTTGAAAATCGGCGATCCCATCACCATGATTTCTCCTTGTAAGTTAGAAACTGACTATTATTGTTGATAATATAGAAATATATTCTAACTATAATAAAAAAACTTTTTAGGATTTTTAGTTTCACAGGACAATAATAAGATATAATTGCGTTGATAAAACTAAAAAAATTTTAACTCGATAGGCCTGCAAATAATAGCAACAAGGGTTTTTTACTGTCCCTAACTTACTTAGCTTAATTGAATTAAGTTAATTAAAATTGATACTAATTAGAGAAAATGGCTGTTTACTTATTAAAGATTTAGGAATATGTATATATAATACATAAGTATTATATAACAAGATACCAATATCATCCAAAGATGTAACTAAAGGGAGAAAAGAGGATGGCTTGTGTCTCTTAAGTTACCTCAGTTGGCCAACAAGATATATATTTATAATATTTAAAAAATTATATTGATAATATATTCAACATATATTTCAAGTTAAATATTCTATATTTATTTTAATTCATATATTTTCATAATATTTATAAGCAAATATTTAAAAAGATATTTTTTAAGCACATTGTAGAAATATTTTCGGTGTAATATACTGTATTTATTCTCTTTAATATATTATCAAAATATACATAAACAAATATTTAAAAAATTATATTGTGAGCATATTATGAAAATATTTCAATAGAATATATTTTTTATTATGTTTAAGAGATATTGTCACAATATTTTATTCAAAATATTTTAAAAAGTATTTTGTAAGAATATTTTGACAATATTAATATATTGAAATTGCTATGTGGGTAACAGCGTTTTCGATTTAAATCCTTAAATTTTTACCGGGTCTACCCAAAGATATTTCAATAATACCCTGAAACTTTCGTTGAAATCTGTTGGTTTTAGAAAAAAATTAAAAAGTAGGCTTTTTTTTTTTGTTTACTCATAGTTTTTAGTAATATGAGTTTGCTTAAAGCATGTCAATTTTGATTAAATTTTATGTTAGTTTATGTAGTTTTCACTAATAACACGTCATTTAAAGATTTTTTTAATGATTAAGATGTCTTTCGCCTACACGTTGCTTTGAATAATAATTAGTAGGTTTTATAAAGTATAATTGTGATACATCTTTTGAAGTCATATTATTTTTTTAATTATTATTTAATTTATAAGTGAGACCAATTTTTTGTAAACTACTTTTGAATTTTTCCTTTTTTTGTGCAACACATATCATGGCTATCGTAGCCGGATACTCCTACCGGAATCAGTGACCTACCTGTAAGGAGAAATCCAGGAATATAATAATAGATAGAATAATTGTTATTTGATTAAATTTAAGTTTTCTCAATAAGTTATAAATTAATTTTTGTCATTCATTATTATTTGTTCTTTGCTACTCTATGAAAATAAATTACAATAAATTTACAGAAAATACATATCTTAACTATTTTTCTAACTTAAATTTTATAATATAAACTAAAAATTAAAAACGGCACTACAGTGGGGTCGCGACACAGTATAGACGCACAATAGTTGGGACAAATATAAATGATATCTGACTGTGATTAAAATCACTATCATAATAAAACTCTTCGATTCAAATTTGTAGATAGTGTTTAATCTAAGAAATTGATGAAAAATTAGAAAAGGAACATCAACTACTACTTCTTTAATTATATCCTGATTAGTAGTATTTAATAAGAAGTGTTATTGACTCGGAAACCGAACGTCACATTTCTTCGATGAATAAAAATAACAACTTAAGCTAGTTCAAACTTCAAATTTATTTTTCTTGACTAAAAAGAAGCAAAACAATTTAAATTAATTTAACTTTCTATGCTTTGTCAAATGAATATATATAATATTTATGAAAATCAGTTTACTACCATTGTAAGGAATTTTAAAATAAAATAAAATATAAAACCAAGAATTTCAACATAAAAATAGAATATTTTTAAATACGGTAGATATTTTTATCATGAAGACAACGTGAAGTTGAAAATAAAAAGTTCTACTTTTTATACGCATTTTTAAGACTTTAACTACCCTGTATAAAGGGAAATGATCCGATCTAAATAAAAAGTATGTCAAATAAAAAAATATATAAATAATATTTATCATAAAAATTTGTGTTGATCCATACATTTTTCAAAAAGTTATAAAATATAAAGTTAAAAATAGAAAATAGAAAATTTCAACACAAAAATAACATATTATTTAGTATGTTAACCATTTTTACCATGAAGACAATATAAAGTTCGAAATTTATTTTTATTATTATATATTTATTATTATATTTATTTTTATTCTCTTTATTATATTAAAGTATATTACATAAGTTTTAATTTAAGATATATATAAAAGTGTCAGTATTTCTGGATCACTTTTAAAATTTAAGTTAAAAAAATTAATTTTTTGTGAAAAAGTTGTTATTTTGAATTCCCCTGTGGACAGGTGAAGGGTCAAACTTACAAAAAAATATACCAAATAATAGGTAAATACCTAATTTATCTATAAAAAATTTTATTGATCCAAACATTTTTCAAAAAGTTATTACAGTTTAAAGTAAATAAAAATAAAAAAATTTCAAAAATTACCGATTTTTAAATTTGTAATTTTTTTGGAAATTTCCCCCATTTATTGGAAACGATGGAAATTTTTTCAATTTTTTAGTGTAGTGCCTTTGACTAGATACAATTTTTGATCTTTTGACGTTCGTCAAGATAGATAGATAGATAGAGAAAGATAGATCGTCGGGACAAATTTTTTTATTTTTAATTTTATAGTACATGACAACATGACATTTTTTTTTAACTCAAAAAGAATTAAAAAAGTGCTACAGTTGTGAAAGACCCAAGTGTTACCGTCTCAAAAATCGTACGTCTCATTCGTCACTTAATAAAAATGGAAATTTAGCTAGTTCAAATTTTAAAGTTATTTTTCTCGACTTCAAAGAAACAAAAAAATTAAAATATGATTAATTTTTTATACTATGTCATTTAGATTGATATAATATTTATGAAAATCAGTGTAATCCCCTTATAATAAAATAAAATACAAAACCAAGAATTTTAACATAATAATAGCATATTTTTAAATACGGTAGCTATTTTCACCATGTATTCTCCTAATAAGATATTTTAAAATAAAATAAAATACAAAATCTAGAATTTTAATAGAAAAATAGCATATTTTTTAATACGGTAGCCATTTGCGCATAGAGGAAATGTCGTCAAGACAAATTTTTTTAAACTTTAATTTGATATATGTTTAAAAGACGCAGTATTTCCGTTACATTTTTAAAAATTAAGTTGAAAAAGTTATTTTTTGTAAAAAAGTTGCTATTTTAAATTACCCCCAATGAGCAGGTTAGGTGTTTAATTTTCAAAACAATGATATTAAATGAAAGGAAAATATCTAAGGTTTTAGTATAAAAAAAATTATGTTGATTTGTTTATTTTTGAAAAAGTTATGGAAGTTTTAAGAAAAAAAAGTGAAAAAAATGACAAAATTTACCGATTTTTAAATTTGTAATTTTTTTTGGATATGTCCCGCATTTGAGGAGAACAAGAGAAAATTTTTCAATTTTTAAGGGTAATGTATTCAACTAGATACGATTTGTGATCTTTTGATGTACTGTTGAAAGAAATCGGAACTAAGAAAAAGAAGAAACAGACATAAAAAAAAAAAACACATCACGATAAAATTAATACCTTCTCAGCTTCTCATCGAAGCTAATAAAACACATTATAGTAAAATTAATACCTACTCAGTTTTCTATTGAAGCTAATATTTAAAATTTTATATTAAAGGATGCCACAACAAAAGTTTATTATTTAAATTTTTTCAAAAAATTAAAGCTTACCTTCCATGTTGATATTTTCTTGTTAAGTTTTTCGATATAATTATCGGACAAGAAATGAACTTGTTCAGTATGATAAACACTAAACAGAATGACAGAAATCAAAACTAAAATTCTGTTCATGGTTATTACGTTAAAACTAAAGACACTATCTTCTTCAATCGAGAAGAATTGAATGTCATAAAATAATTATAGTAAGCTTTTATAATTATCAGATAAACTCTTCAAATATCAAAAGAGAAGTGTTTTAGATAAAAATTTCTTATATTGATTGTTTAATTTCAATAAATATATGATTTTTTTTTCATGGCTATTGTTTTTTAATTTTCTTTAATATAATATTATTTAGACGTTTCGCCACTACTATCTTTCATTTGATTACTAATTAAACTTCCTAGTTCAACACCGATAACTTTTAATTATTTAACATAAGATTCTTTTAATTTTATGAAGTAATGTACTACGTTAATATATAGAGTATAATTGACAATTATAATTTTGTCAACTTAGTAATGTCAAGTGTATAATTTTTCTATGATTTAATGATAAGGAAACTAAATTAAATAATTTAATTAATATATAGCAAGATAAAATTCTAATTTATTTTGCTACATGATATTATTCATATTAGGACATATTAACTGTCTTAGAGAAATATTAGTTTAAAAAAGTTTTTCTATATTAAATATCTTTTAATTGTATTTACAATATTACTGTTTTTATTAATGAGTACATACTCACAAGGAGAGGTCACTGATATTCGTTAAATTTATATTAATCTAATCTAAATAATTGAAAACAAAATAAGAGGTATTTTGAATTATTTGCCAATGCCCCCCTTAATTCGAGAAAATTGATTTAGAAAATTTTTAATAAGCTAATTAGGGTCACTTTTCTTAAGTAGAAAATAACGAATTGTAGTCGTGTCGATATAACGTCGTTTTATGGCACGTACGGGTTCGGGATCAATTCTCTTTTAATTGTAACTTTTGTTGCATTTTTTTCTTAATTTTTTTTACGGTATTCTCTTTGAATTATTAATTTTACGTAATATTTGTCATTTTTTTTTACATTTTATGCATCTACAGGTTGTTCAGTAAATTGTTGAAACAGGTAAATTGTTAAAATCAATGAGAACAATATAAACCCGTTTCCTTACTTACTGAACACCTTGTATATAGTTAAACCTTTCCAAAATCTCTCTCATTTAAAAATTTATATACTTTTACCCGATTAATATTAAAATAAGTTATATTTATGTGCATAAAATATTATTTTATTTTATTCATATTATATCACTGAAAAATCGATAACTTATACCATTATATGTGTTTTGAATGTAGATAAAACTATATCGCATTATAAACTATATATATTGCGTTAAATTAATAATTCAAAGAGAAAACCAAGAAAAAAATTAAAAAAAAAATCCGACGGGATGGAATCTCGTATCCGTCGCGTCATAGGATCACACATTCTCGATTCGACCATAACACGTTATTTTTTGTGTGAAGAGAAATGACTCTATTTAAGCTAATTAAAAATTTTCAAAGTCAATTTTCTCGACTTAGGGGGGGCACTGGCAAAAAATTAAAAAAAACTCTTATTTTGTATTTAATATAGATTAAATTTATATAAATTTTATGAAAATCAGTGAGCCCATCACCGTGCATTCCCTTGTCAGACCGGTTCATTCATACTGTCAACGTACAATCATTACCCATTATATTGGCTTCTCAATTCACCAAACGGAGCTTATGTTTGCTCAAGAACAAGTAATGGAGATTGGTCATCGTGCTTATTATATTCAAAATCTAGAGTAGCCTCACTTATTTGCACATAGTAGATAAGGTAACGGGACAAATTTTTTTTTTTCATTTTTAGTACATAAAATAAGCTTTAATTTGATATATGTTTAAAGGACGCAATATTTCCGGAACATTTTTAAAAATTAAGTTGAAAAAGTTATTTTTTGTAAAAAAGTTGCTATTTTAAATCCCCCCCCCC